GTATGGCCCATGTCATATATAATCACATATAAATCATATTTAATCGCTTTTACATTAAAACTTTGAGCACAACTGAAAAGAAGCTATACAGAGGATATATGCATTGGAGAACTAAAATCGAATTCAACAGTGAATAACAACAAACTCAAATATTAATTTGCACCAAATCAATCATTCATTCATTTAACTAAATACGACACTCATCAAAGTCCATAAAAACCAATCAGAATTCAAACATACACACACACGTGTAGGCACACACTCAGACGCACGCACGCACACACACACACAAACACACACAGATAGAGAGATACACGCACCTGTGGTGGCCACATGCCCGGCTATTCCTAACGAAGCTGCTATGCGAACTTCTGATGAGGAGGATGACTGTACAAGAAAATGAATGAATGAATGGATGAATGAATGAATGAACGAATGAATCAATCAATCAATCAATCAATCAATCAATCATTCAATCAACAAACCTTTATTGTAGGATCGGAAACATCCCCATCAAAGACCTTTGCAATCAACTCGTTCGTTTCCTTATCGAGCAAAAAAACTGAACATCTGACGACGACGACGATGATGATAACAAGATGATGATGATGATGATTACGATGATGACGATTATTATTATTATTATTATTATTATTATTACAAAAATTTTTATCATCCGGACGGACGTTGAAAGCTGAAATTAAGATGAAAACATTAAAAAAAGTATGTAGAAGTGATACGTACGGGAACTGAGCCATCGACAACAACAACAACAACAAAAACAAAAACAACAACAGCAGCAGCACAGCAGCAACAACAAAAACAACAACAATAATAACAATGAACCTTTCAGCCTGTGTTAGGTTTCTGGCCTCCTGCATAATTTTGCTCAACAAGGTGGTTATATCCCCTGTCACGTGACAATGACGTCATGTGATGGAATGATGACGTCGTGGTAATTAATATTATTATTATTGTTGTTGTTTGGCAACTAACACACACACACACACACACACACACACACACACATACATACACACGCACATATACACACGCACACGCACGAATTCATGCGTCAAACGCATTGCGTATAAAACAAGTAGGGATATCTTGGCATTCGAACCGAGTCGCTGTAACACAAAAGCAGGCATATTTCTCCATTAGACCATCAAATGGGGATGATGTAATAAACATGATGTCATCATGTTGTCATAATGAATGTTATGATGATGTCATAAAGATGTGATGATGACGAATGACTCATTCATTAAAAGTTAATTTAAATTTCAAGTACATAGAAAAGAGAAATGGATAAATGAATACAACGGCAGCATATGCAACATACCACCTAAATTTCTGAAAAGATTTTTGGCGACTTGCAACAGAACCTGCAGATTTAAATGAACATCGTGGAAAGAATTCACGGTAGTATATTTTGTAAACAGTCAGCTGATAAAAATGTAAAATCTGATTGCGAAACGTGAGATGAACACACAGACGAATGAGAAAGACGAATAGACAGTAAAACAAAAAAAGGTATATACAAACAGACTTACAGACAGTCAGACATACAAACGCACAGCTAGACAGACAGACAGACAAACAGACAGACAAACATACAGACAGACAGACGGACAGACAAACATACAGACTCACAGTCAGACTTGCAGTCAGACAGAAAGACTAACTTGGGTTTGATTTCGGACGATTCGTTCATTCTGCAAGACAATGGCACTATGTAGGACTGGTGCCGTATAAGTGAAGCAATGCTTTATAACCATCTCATCTCTTTCTGTGAAACTGACGGTGATGATGATGATGGCGATGAGGATAATGATGATGATGATATTAAAAGTGATGATGATGATAGTGATAATGAGGAGGATAATGGTGATGATTATGCGTGCTGGCGCCAATAAGATGAGGATTAAATATCGGATAGTTATGATAACGGGTGGGGTTGATAATAAACGTTTTCATTATACCCCTTAACGATAACAACTGCGTCATCGTAAACAAACACCACCATTGTCATCATCACCATCATCATCACAACATCATCACAACATCATCACCATCATCATCATCATCACAACATCATCATCACAACATCATCACCATCATCATCATCATCACAACACCATCACCATCATCATCATCATCACAACATCATCACCATCATCATCACAACATCATCACAACAACATCATCATCATCATCGTCGCCATCAACACATCACATCACCGCCACCACCCCCAATGTATGAACATCCTCCTCATCATCAAAACGTCATCATATTCAACGCCACCATCGTGACGTCATCAGTGTAACGTTATAATAACAACGTCATCATATATGACGTCATCATTGCGAACCTACTGCCATTGATCTTATTGACGATGCACGTGATAGCAAGCACCTGACCTGTGACCCTACAAAGGATGGGCACACATAGGGAGTTCCTCAGCTTACACGGTATGTACTTCTGCAACTCTTCTAAATATACCTATGCCGTGTGTTGTATATGTATGTATGTGTGTGTCTGTCTGTGCGTGAATGTATGCATGTATGTATGTTCTTACGTACGTATGTATGTATATATGAATAAATGAATGAACGAATGAATGAATGAATGAATGAATGAATGAATGAATGAACGAATAAATTTCGAATTTATATAGCGCCAATTATAATTGCCTCTCATCAGCGTTCTCCTCGTATGAAGCATGTTGAAAGCGAAGCCATCATCGGTGGAGATCACTAGGAGTTACCAAAAAGGTATGTCTTTTGGACGTTTTCTAAACTCAGTTAATGATAAACTCAGATGAGTGTAATTCGATAGGTAGGCTGTTTCAAAACAACTGCAAAATCTCTATCTGCTGTTTTCAGATTTCGATCTCTAACATACAGCGTGTTTGAATCAGAAGACCTTAGACACACACGTGATGACATAGATGAAATACATTTATCTTCTAAATATTTCGGAGCCAGACCATTCAAACTTTTAAATACCATCACACACAACTTGAACTTGATTGATTCTTTGTTTAACACGAAGCAGCCAATGCAACTCCTTTGGATTTGGCGATGCACTATCAAATTTTAATTTGCGGCATATCATTCTAGCAGTTTGGTTCTGGAACCATCTGAAGTTTAAACAACAGTTTATCAACTATACCATATAGAAAACTGTTTGCATTCGAGCTCAGTCGGCACGCAAACAGCAACATCATGACATCTCACCCACGTGGTTGTTCCTCGTAGGTTTGTAGCTGGATATGAAAATGTCATTAAGTGTGTGTTTCTATTTTAAAATGCTCTGACTGTTTGTTGTTCAGGTAGATAGATGGGTAGGAAGAGGCACGCAGGTAACACGTGAGAAGACGTTTATAGGGACGAGAGTATAAAAGTGAAAGTACAAGTCAAGGTTAATGATCATAAGCAGGTGCATGCGCTGTGATGTCCATGCATACATGCTCGTTATAAAAAAAAATGCATGTACATGAACACTGAACATACATAGATGCACGTGTGAATTTTTTAAAAATATTTCATCAGCATTCCTCGGACGTATCGACCACAAACATAGGACACCTTCCCTATTACGCTATCTCGTTGTTTTAATATGAGTATTATTATTTTTTTTTATTATTATTAATGTTCATTTATATAGCGCTAATTAAATAAAAAAATTTCAAAAGCTCTCACATAAATAAAACAGTATACGAGTGAACGATTAAAGAAAAATACTAAACGTTAAACCAAAGAAAATAAATGCGCTTTTAATTCTTTTTTAATGTATGTATGCAAGTGTATTTATGCTTCGTTGGCCAATCATCAAGATGTATGCACACATATGCACACACGCGACTACAAAAATGATGTCTGTCATTGGTTTAAAAATGACGTTATTCATTGGTCTAGAGGAATTAAATAGAGAAATAATAACAGATCGTGCTAGGCTAAAGACAGAGCCTGGCAGTTCACTTGGAAAGAAAGTATTTTAGCCGATCATATCCACAATTTTCGAAAAATATAAAATTAAAATTTTAAAGCAAAAATTCCGTTGGAGAGAAAAATTAAAAAAAAAATCAAAGCATGTTTGAACAGAATTTCACATATAAACAACAAGCACATTAATCCTCGTTCACTATAAAACATCACAAATCTTGCTTGTATCCACACGCATGAATCCATAAAACAGTCTAGCTGGTAGGTTTTCTCAAAAAAAAAAAAAAAAAAAAAAAAAAACTAACCGGCTCAATGGAATCTAGAGATACACTGATCTTTTGTTCCAGGATCTCAGCAAAACTATTACCAAGAATCTGAAGGTGATGATGATGATGGTGATCTTCATGATGGTGATCTTCATGATGATGATCTTCATGATGATGATTATGATGATGATGAGGACGACGATACTAATGACGTCGATAACAAGACAGATGATGATGGTAATGATGATGATGACGAAGATGATGATGATAAAAAGGAAGAAAAAGATGCTGATCTGATGATGATGATAATAAGATATAATTAATAATAATAATAATAATGATAATGATAAAAATGATGATGATGACGTAACTAACAGGGAAACGGATGTCATCGTCCAGACATTTCCCACAGATGACCTGCATGGATGTTCGTATGTGAGTGAGTTATTATTATTATTATTATTATTATTATTATTATTATTATTAATAGTCGACTTCGATGATGATGATACATACTTGACAAAAGAGTTCGTGCCTTCCTTCGTCATTCAGCATAAGAAAGCCAGCCTCTGAGTGTGTTTCGTTCAAGATCTGATGATGAAGATGGTGATGACGACGATGATGATTGTGATTTTCTTTCAATTTCGTTGGTGATTTCGGCAGTTATGATAACAATGACGATGATAAGGAAGATTGCAATGAGGATCTTATGATGATGATAGTTTTGAAAATAATAGCGATGATGATGATGATGAAAATAATGATGATGATGATATTATTATTAATAATAATAACGACGACGATGACGAAACTGATGATGAAAATAATAGTGATGATAATGGAGAATGTCGCTGTTGTACCAAGCAATGATATCTCAATGCATTCCAAACTTCAAGTGCCAAACATGACAACAACTTGATGGCTATTCATTTCAATGCATTTCTCGGAGGTATTAACAATACAAAAACGGCAAGTAGTATAGTAGAGGATCTTCTTGCATTCGAACAAGGTCACTGCAACAGCAGGAGCAGGCACCTATAATCACTTGACTATCCCGCCACCCATGATATGACACACTGAAATCATCTTGTTCCATTACGTATACACAAACATAAACTACGAAGTTATAATGTTAAAATATTTTTGACTCCCCATGGATTCAATTCAATTCTAAAAATCTTTTATTCAAAAAAATATATTACCAGGTAGAGCCAAAGTTTACACTTGTTGGGCCACCCAATCAAGATATTGCAAGAACATGAACTAAGGAAAACTTGGTGTAATCAACGTGACGAAACTTAGATTGAACCAAATGAATATTAAAAAATTCAAAAAACAGAAACTGCAATAGTCAAACAGTAAAAAATGAAAAATGATCGTTTAAAAATAACTTAGAGACAAATTTCTTGAAAGAACTAAGCGAAGGCAAATTTTTCCCTTCTCTTGGTAACGGGTCCCATAAGGTTCCCATGAATGTATGCATGTAATGAGAATTTGGAATTCAAAATCTTATTAGTAAGATTAAAGAACACAATCTTACGATCAATTGAAGAAGACATCTTTAAAATTAGAACGTAAGAAAGTAAGATAAAGGAAATAAAATAAAAATAAATAAAAGTAAGAATGAATAAAAATGATAAGATATTAAAATATAAATAATAAAATAAGAAGTAAAATTTTTTTCTAATCAAAACGTGATGTCCGTACGTTCGGAGTGTTTAAAAATACAGATCATAGTTAACAAAGAAAATAATAACTTTTGAGAAAATATAACTCTTTTAAAATTCTCTTTCGACATTTTTTTCGGAATTTTTATCAGAAAAATATCGAAAGAGACACTAGAAAATGGTGTAAAAACCATGAAAGTAACCACAGTAACGATGACACAATGACATCAGTCATCAGCTTGTGGTTCTTAAGACTTTTCCTCACGGTAGCAAGCAGATGAACGAGAACCGCTACAAAGAAACAAACACACATATAACACAAAATTGTATCACTCAAACTACAAACAAGCAGCACGCACACACGCACGCACACACACACACACACACTCATTCAAACAACAAACAAGTAGCACGCACAAACACACGCACGCGCACACACTCAAACATACAACAGCGTGAACTTACGTATTGCATGATTTTCGTCTGTAAGGATTTTGCATCGGGATCATAGAGTTCTGCTGTAAAGTCAATCCGCAATCAATCAATTTAAAAATTAATTTATAGTTGTTAATCAAACGATCGATCCATTAAGCCATCTGCTTATTGCTGCAAAGAAATGTCTTAAAATAGCCAGCAAATCAACTGGCATCTGCTTATTGCTGTGAAGAAATGTCTTAAAATAGCCAGCAAATCAACCAGTCAACAATGACAGTCGTTCAACAACAACTACTGCTTACATCAGTTTTCAATGGCGTTTTTCAACGTCAATAACGCACACATAATTATACACGCAATGAACAAACACTTAGCAATGAACATGTAGCGAAGACTGCGATCGAACCAGGTCACTGCAGTTCAGAACTAGCCAGTAGGCCATCATAATCAATAACCAAGTGAATGAACAAGTGCATCGTTGTTACCATCATCAGAATCATTACAAAAGAAATTTAGATAATAATCACAAACGAACCACAGAGTTTGAGGATAGCTGCATCTTTTTGACTTTGCAGTAAGGATGGTTTGGACCGGCTGATGTTACGGTAGCAATAGACGAACTGTTGCAAATTAAAATGTGTGCGTATGTACACGTGCGCTTACGTACATCTTTGCGTGTACATATATGATTTTCTACGCTTTCAAAATCATGTTAAATATTGTAGCAATATACATAACAAAATTTCTTAGCTATATAATTGACAAAGTAACTGAAAAAACTATTCAAACAAACCGCCAAACAACCAAACAATCAAAAAGACATCCAACAACCAGCCAGTCAAACAAATGTCTTGCCGACCATGTTAGCTGCCATCTCATCTTATCGAACGAACCTGTTTTTCAAGTAAGGAGAGGAATTGCATTTCGTCGTCAGATAGATGCAGGCTGGATAACTGCGGTGTAGTGTGGTGTGGTTGGTGTAGTTTATTGTGGTGTGGTGTGGTGTTGGTAGAGTATAATGTTAGACATTTAATTGTCTGCTTGTTTGTTTGTTCATTTAATGAACTAATCACTCGTTCTTCAAAAAACCAATAAAGCCAATAATATTTAAACCGACCAGTCCTCAGCCTATAAGACGATAAATAAACTGATAGACAAATTATGAACACAGCAAAACAGCT